TGCGCCTCGCCTCGCACTGACCCGCTGCTGTCACATCCGCGCAGCAAGGGCAGGCCCGTGGCGCAGAGCTGCTAGCGAATATACATACCCTGCTGTAACTCTTTCCAGTATTTAATTTCCAAGAACAGCTGGTGGGGATGGAAGCACTACCTGAGCTCCGATACAGCTCCTGTAGGCTCCGTTTAGCTCGGACAGTTTTCCTTCATGTGCTGGTCCTGAAAAGAATGTGCCCCTTAATTAAAATTTCTTTGCTAACTTAGTTTTCTTCTTTCTTTGTTCATTACGTCTTATAAGCCTTGATTTCTACAGTACAGGCTGTTTCCCATTTATGGGCAAAATGCTTTACATATTTGGGTCCACAAGTAGTATTAAAGCTCTTGGATAATGTGTAGATAATAATGAAAAAATTACTTGAGAATTTTCATTTGAAATTTTTTGTGAGTCTTTAAAGACATTTTCAATAGGGGACATAATACCTCATGTTGGAGACATTCCTCCCTGAAAGAGAAAGGAGGAAATATGAAATCTGAGATTGAGATAACTCCAGTTTACTTTGGCAGAGAGGAACAGACTGGATCTCTGGCTAATTACTGCTGATGCCATCACACGGTATAATGGTTTTACTGTGAGTCTTGTGATTTGCATATGTATAAGACAGATACACGTGTGCTGCACAGTCTTTACACTTATGTTAAGACATATTTGCACCCCACCACAAAGTAATTTGCTAATTCTTGTTTCTGTTTAGAAATTACAAAAACAGCAAGAACAGCCAAGTCATATCTCCCAGTCTGGCACCGGCTATCAGACACTCATTTGCAAACATACGAAATATCATTCATTATAACCTAGAATCATTACAGCAACATGTGCAGTTCTGCTTCTCCTGCTCCTATCAACGGTGACAAGCGCATTTAACAGATCTCATTTGTTACATGCAGTACCGACAGACTGGAAATGGCTTTTATTCATGGAGCCACATTACTGCTCTAAGTAACATGAGAGACTCCCTGAGTATTATAAACATCCTGGCCAAGGCAGCACAGACAGACTAACCAGAGGGCAATGTGCTTGAGATCAGTTTTGAACAGCAAATTTCATTGACAGCTGTCAAGTTTGAATTGCGAGGTACAATTTACTGTA